GGTTTCTTTCTACACAGGTGATGAAATTTAGAAGTTCCAATGAGTAAAATTGTGTATTTCTTAAAGAGGTAGTTCAAACCTTGTTCTATTAGCATGGCCTCCATAGCTGAATTGGTAAAGGCACATTTCAGCAATGCAAAAACAGTTTCCCAACTTTTCCCAATTTGTCTAATTTTAGATATACAGACCTTGTATTTGCTTATTTTTAATTATTTATTTATTTCATTCCTAACTACTTTCATTGATTCTAAATAAAATTAACAGAATCTATATCTACAAAAACTTTATGCCTGACATTGAGCACACTTCAATAAATCTTAAATGCGTGCACACACATTCATATATTGTAAAGTTGTTGTCTTCTTGTATATCACTTAAAACAGATACTAACAAAAGAATTAGGCATCATGTCCACTGCTTTTATATTTTGTTGGCATGGGAATAAGTTTCCTTCTTACATTGAACTTTGCATGGATATTTAAAAAAAACATCAGCCATGCTTTTTGTTTAAAATGTTCTTCATTTTTGTTGATTTCAAAGATAAAATATTCCTGAAAAAGAAAATTTACCTAAGGGAGTTAAGTGGGTCAATCTCATAATGTTCTTGGTCACTTTTCACACTTCACAATGGCCATCTTTGGTACAAGGTAAAATAACAAAAAATCAAAAAGATTTATTAGTTGGAAAAGCACTATGTTATTAAAAATATATTCATGCCTCAAAAGTGGGGAATTGAAAAAGCACACACACTAATGCATGCAAATCTAACAACAAATAAGAAGTATATCATCCAATGATGCAAACTCTCTCTGTGCAGATGTTAGTTCTTTTTGCATTGTTTTATATTTTGTACATAATTTTATGGTTATGTGGTTAGAATGTTAGCATTCAAACCATGAAACCTGAGTTCAAATCCCACTATGGTTGATTTATAAACGAGATGAATTGATATCAGCTTGGGATGACAATTGAAGCCTGAAAACTAAATTGTGAGTGAAAAAAACTGTTCAAAAGCTGTTGATTTTACAAGTAAAAAGTTACAAGTCATTGTGACCGAGGGTTCTAGCATACTGGTGAAAGTTCATGTAGCATAATGGTTATTTTCACAAGACTGGACACTCCTGCCTTGACTGGCAACCAGTCTTGGAGAAGGAGAACTGAATCTGAACCAACCTGAAGAGTCTATTATGTCCACTTTTGCACTAATGCTCTTGAGATACACATGAATCCAAATTCTTCTCCTTCCAGGCTACACAGGATTCTCTTGCTTTGATTGGTAGCCAGTCTAGGAGAAGGATAATTGTAAAACTAAAACCCACTTGAAGAGAGATGAGTTCTATCAAGCTGTCTTGTCTAAAACATACCTGCATTATATATACAAAAGTCTTCAGTTACTTGAGAAGGAAATTGCTAGTTTTTTCATATTAATTCAATTATTGACAATGAAAATTTCCTTGAAGGCATTAAAATATAGTGAACAGTTCTCTTCATAGAATTAGTATTTTGATGAACAAACATTCAAATACTGATCTGGAGAAAAGGGATGGAACTTTTCAGCACATTACTTATATTACAGTTGTTTCAAATTACTTTGTAATTTCATGCTGATCTCAAGATGCCAAGGCAAGGAAAAAGACATAGTCACCTCAAGAGGTTGAAGAAAGGAAAAGAAAGACAAAGAAATCTGACTGTATTGATAGAACTCAATCAAATACTGACTTTCCTCACCCACACCCACTCATATCACCGTTTGCTAGTTTATCTTTCTACATTCAATCACTGTCCTGTTCTGAATGTGTGCTTGTAATATGCAATACCTTTCTTCAGTTTCTTTCTTCAATGTGTTACTCTGTATTCTGTCAGCATTGTCTCCTGAAAAAGAACTTCTGATTGATTGGTCAAGGTGGTTGGTGAGCTTGATTGTTGTCTCTGCTTGTACACAACGAAAATCCGTGACATGTGGACTATTTATTGTCTGGTTTGCTTAAGAACTCATCACCACCAATTTGAAAGATGCTTTATTTACTTTGTCACTCACCCTATCTTCCTCATCTTCACTTTGCCTTCTATTTAGACTCCACCTTAAATTTTACTCTTAGTCATGGAGAGGAACACTAGAATCTATTTTAAAGTTCTTGTTAGTTCTTATTTTATATGCTTTCTTTTAATGACATTAAGATAAGTTTGGTATATTTCTATATACTTCTTTTTTTAATTGCTTTTTAAACTCTAAAGGTGTCAAGATAAAATAGTGGCTTATAGCTGTATCATGTTGAAACACTGGTTTCTGTACAATCACCAAAGTTAAGCAACATCAAGTCTGGATGGGTAATCACTTGGAAATACTAACTGCTATAAGCTTGGATATATGGGAGGTATAAAGGGCTTACAGCTACCTCACATTGAAACACCAGTTCCTGTACGATCGCTGCAGTTAAGCAACATTGAGCCTGGTCAGTACCTAGATAGGTGACCACTTGGGAATACCAGGTGCTGTAAGCTTCAATGTATTGATGGTGTAATGGAAAATGGTTCAAAATTGTTAATCAGAGATTCAAGTTCCAATTCCAGTTGGGTTTGTTATACTCACTTATGCACAAATACCCTTGGGAAAGGTATGAATGAAGCTTGAAGCAATTGGGTGTCTAGCCACATTGATGAGCTGTGATACAGTGAAATAGTCTCTCTGTAGATGATGATATATATATGATTGCCTCCCTGTGTCTTTTCTATAAATACTTTCATGGTAATTGTTCAGATGAGCTCTTTGCTATGTTACCTAGATTTCATAAATTTAAGCACACTACTAGACTAGTGTTGAGATCTCATCTATTGTCAGTTCAGTTGACTAGATGTAACCGTAAATTCTATGCCAACAGTTTCTTTTCTCACAGTTCCCACTTGTGGAAGTCCCTTCTGGCTCAATGCTTTCCAGCCAACTTTAATCTACAAAAGTTTAAATGCAATGTCAATTGCTATCTAATGTCCTCCTGATTATTCTTTTTGTTCCTGCTCATTAGTAGTGTTTCTGTTTCTAATTATCCCACACCAAGTAACGTCTTGTGTCTTAGTGGCTTGGCTACCTTACATGGGGTAAACTCAATTAATTATATGGTGGACTCTTCCATTGTATTCAACATATGAGGGTCAAGCAGCTCAGGAACCAAGAGCCCAGACACCTGCACATATGATTTGATTATAGTGGTGAAGGCTTTGTGCACAACCAACGACACTTTTTGAAGAGCTGAATACAGAGACCTGATGCACTACATGTCACAAGGTCCCTAAACAAGACTCTGCGAGTTTTGGATTCAGAGTTGTCCTTCTCCTAGACCAGTTGCCATCTAAGGCTATAGAACCCAGTCTGTCCTGCTACTTATCCATAGCTGGAGGGAGAAGAAGAGGATTAATACCTTTCTCAAGGGTATTAGCATGTAAGTGAAAGTAATGGATTTGACTGAAATTTGAACTCAGCTCTCCGATTCCTCAATCTCTTGCTGTTTTGATCATGGATCTGTTTCTGATGATTGTATCAAGAGTTTAAGTCAAATCTGTCCAAGATTTTTTCATATCATGATCAATTTGATAGAAATGAAATTCTGGGTATTTCATACAGGCCCTGGCAAAATAATGCAGCCATTATAAATCACTAAGTTTCTTCTTCCAAACATTTGAAAAATGAGCCCCGTCTATTATGACAACTGACACTAAATCAACAATATGTTCTGAAAACGTCTAATTTATACACAGTATTGAACATGTAAGTTTTAATCACTTTTTTTGTACTATTTCCTTGGCAACAGATAAAGGAATAATAATAGATCATAAATTTAGATCTTCAGTGGATGTAGATTTCTGTTTACTCTTTCAGATTTTGTTAATCAAATGATTGCAACCACAAGGGGTCTGCTGCTGATTGAGTATCAAGTAGATTTTTTTTGGTGGGGGGGGATTAGTGTTGCTTTACCCAACTCTACAGTTTTGAATTTAGAGTTATGATGAAAAGTGGGTACTTTACAATGATTAAAGTATGGTTTCAAATGAATGGATCTGCTAAATGTTAAAGATAATAGTTTTTCATCAGACTTTGTAGACTGGTACCAAAAAATCACAAATGAAGATCTTTATCAAATAATAAAACCCACATCACTTGATTGCTTCCAACAGTAGCAATAACAAGAATCTGTAGCACATTTAACTAGAGGAGAAAATAATGATATATTCAAGCTATTACACACTACCAAAAACTAAAAGATTGGAAGGAAATGCTTATCAGTATCAGAAAGAGTTATAACATTTATTGGATTTTAGAAGACTAATTTTCTAAAAGAAAAATGTTTTAATAAAAAGATTTTATGAATTTTAACCAACTGTAGCACTAAGTGTTTAGTTAATGAATGCCAAATGTTTCCTTTATGAAAATGGTTAATTCTACCATTACAACAAGAATTCAAGAGATTGTAGGGCAAGCAAAATGCCCCCCCCCACTAACCATACCAATGTCAAATCTTTATCTAAAGAATGAGTCTTCTGTGAACTGCTTTAGGAGAACTAAACGACTGATCCAAAGAAGCTACCAATTAATGCAATTAAATGCAGCAGTCAATGAAGTGTGTCCAGAATTCAGTACAATTGCTTCAGAATAACACTCAGCTGTTATTTAGTTATAAGGCAAAAATTATTGCAGTTTGGCAACAAAGTTTTCACTGATCTGTCATATTCTTCAAATATTTCAACCTCAGATTACTACTTAATCTGTTTACCTACCCTAGCTCTTTGATCACAACTGAAATCTTAGAATACACAACTCTCTACCATAGTTAATTGTAAACTCCATAACCCTTTCCATTACTGTATAGTATTTTTTTTTTTTGCCGGGGCTACATACATACATTATCCTTCTCTTAGACTGGTTGCCAACCATGGCACAAGAGCCCAGTCTGCCCTGCTATTTAACTCATAGCTGGAGGGAGAAGAGATGGATTCATGACCTTCCCAAGGGTATTTGTTCATAAGAGAATGTAACAAGCTTGACCAGAATTTGAATCCAGCTTTGCTGATTCCTATTCAATTTAGTCATTTCAAAATTATTGTAATAAAAAAAACTTGTATTCTGTGAAAACCTACAAAAGGCACTAGGAGCAATTCTTTACTGTGAAAGAAAATCATTTCAAAGGATTAAAGTATAAAGTTGTCTGAAAGAAAAATAGAAGACAATGAATCTGTTTTCTTTTTTCACTTAAAATTATTATATTTTCTTATTTGTACATTGTTTATTTACTATTATTAGGTTTTCCTATTTATACTCTATTTAATATATTTTCTCATTTATTCTTTGTTTACTTAAAAACTTTAATGAAATTACTAGTCAACGCAATGTATTTGCCTTTTTTAATGACTAATTAACACCCTTTATTGCATAAATGGGTAGACTGATCTCATTCCATTGTTCATATCTAATATACTCAGAATTGGTGGAAACAGAATTAACAATAACTGAACAATTTACCAAGGTGAGGTGCCACTTGATATGGACAGTGTAATGAGAACTATCTATCCATGTAGATTAAATAAAGGGCTTAGATCAAATTCCTCTGAAGATTAAATCAATTGATAAATATCTGAAGAAGGCACAATGGCCAACATGTTATGATTGTAGCAATGAAGGTGTGAAGATATTAGTCCAATTACCAATATAAATATTAATGCCTCATCCCAGAAATTCAAACAGATTAAAACTTAATGAAAGTTTAAAACATTAATAAAAGATTGTTTCTTTGAAATAAAATTTAAAACTAATTGTTTGGCAGTTAGATGCCTTTGCACATTTTAGTCAGACAGAAGAGAATTGAACAAAACAGTAAAGATGTTATTCAAGAAATTTAATGTCAAAGTTTTTTAAATTATCTTTTACACATACTTAAAAAAGCAAGGCAGTCTTTTCTTCTATGTGCCATCCATTCAGGATGTGGGCAATCATGACTCTCCATAACTTCCTATCTTATCTTTTTGCTATCCATCCTTTAGCCCTATTCTAGAATTTCACAGGCTCATTAAGTAGGTTACACACTGTTACTTCCTCTGTCTCTCTTGACTTCAGTATGTCATGTGAGTGTCAAATTCTCCAAGTCCTCTTTCCTCATTATGTGTGCTAGAATTTTCAACTGTTTCTTTCTGATTTTGAGAAGAATCATCCTTTTGTCTTCCATTTTCCTCAACACTTTGCCATTACTTGCATGTTCAGTCCATGGTATTTTAAGTATTTCTCTGTAGTCTCATGTTTTCTTTTTCTCTGTGTGAATTTTGTTTTTACTAATGTTCACTCAATATAAGGCCAAAGAGCCACTCAAGGTAGAGGGTTACTGAATTATGTTGGTGTAGGAGTGTAGGAGGAGGAGATAAGAAGTGCAGTTTATGAGGTTATGTATGAAAGGGAACGGTTAGCCTGAGTGGTTAAGATTGTAGTGATTGGGGAAAAGGTGTTGGAGAAGTTTCATGGGAATATCTAGCCAAACTGGAACAGACTATCTCTCTTGCAGAAGTATGATCCAAAAGTCAGGACTCTAACTTGTATTTGTACGGTGTATCCACAAAGAATTTAGTAAGGTTTGAAACATGTGCCCTGCATGCTCAGTAGGGTGTAAATCAATTAACTGAAGGGACTTGAAAGTTAGCCAAGTGTCCTTGGAAGCAGTTTCATGCCATTTGTGCTGAAACAAAACTACTTCACCATGTGTTTTTTTTTCTTTTGTACTAATGTTTACCCCATACAAGGCTCAAGAACCACCTAAGGCAGAGAGATACTAAGGGATGATATTATGTGAGCGTAAGAGGAGGAGGAGGAGGAGGAGATAAGAAGTTCAGTTCATGAGGTAATGTAGGCATGATAACAGTTATCCCTAGACTGGAAGATGGTAAAATTGTAGTGATTGAGAAAACATCCTCTCCAGAGTATGTTTCACAAAGGAGGTGTTCTTAAGAAGAAGCTGTCTAAGTGGAACTTCTTTGTTACTAATGGAATACAAAGGGAATGAGGATGATTCATCCTGGTGTACATAGCACGGTGTGTCTTATCTGCAAAGATTAGAACTAGTGGAACTAAGAAATGTGATTGGCCCAGCATTGATTGAAGTAAGCTAGTGACTTCACCCAAAGAGTTGTGAGTTAAATACCTTGCCACAGCAGAGGTGAAAAAATCTTGGAGAGTTGAGTTAGTAAAAGGGAATAATTGAAACTGAAATATCCAGAAGAGGCATGGCACATGGAACTAGAACAATCTACCCCGGTGAACAAAATAAAGTGTTCAGTTTGAAATTCCAATCACCTGAAGAAAACCAGAATGTACAATGGCGGAAACGTTGTTAATATGACAGCAAAGATGAGGACAAGAGTCTGAACAATATAAATAGTATAAATACTAGACTGGCATTGAGATCTGATCAATTCACAGTTGATCTGGTTAGATGTAACCCTAAATTCTATGCTAAGAGTTTCTTTTCT